CATTCTTTTGGTATTGCACTACGAAAGAAGAATAGGTCATCCAGTGTGTAGTCATCTCTGTCAACTTTAGGCAATCATTACTCGTGTACCAGGAGGAACACCTTGTACACCAAACTGTACAGCATCAGCATCTTTCAATAGTCCACCACTGTTTATAAAGTAATCCTTTAACTTCTCATCATATGCTGACCAGGTTCTCTTTAATGTACGATTGTCACTCAAGAACACACGAACAAGTTTAATTATCAGTTCATAGTTGAACCATGATACATACTTATCTTGCCAAATGACCAAAAGATAGCTCATTGATTCAATGTCACTAAACTCTTCTCTAACTGCTTGTACTGCAGCTGGATTATTCTTTCTGATAGGGCCCAACAAAGCATGAACATGCATTGTAAGATAATTTAAGATTTTAGGAAGTGCTGGCTTTTTGAGAAAGGATTCCATTGTCAGTTGTAATGCATCAGAAAACTCATCCTGTAACTCATATATCTTCTTTGCCAAAGGATGGTTTATTTCAGGATGATCAACATAAACTGTATAAAAAAAATTTTATTATTACAACATGAAAAAGTTATTGGTGTGATGAATAGTTAACATTATTAAATTTAGTAATATGTTTGAAGTGTGCAATAAAAGGAGGCAATATTATTACGTACTCGAGTTATTGTATGCATGAGCTATAAAATAGCTCAAAAATAGCTAAAAATACCTATAAAAAGCTCATAGCCTCATACAATATTATTGCATGAACTATTTTTCTATCATATTGAAGCATTAAATGATAAATTACCTTTTGCCCTGTCAGTGCTTGCTGGTGACATAGCTACCTCATCTGTTTCTAGAGTGGTACTTTTTTCTGAAAAAATTATAATGAAATAGCAAAAGTACTAAGAGTTGGTATCAAAAAGGTATATGTCATTCAAAACCATAATTTACGAGAAAAATTATGTGCTAATTTAGTGCATGTGAGACATTATCCTAGGAAAATAATTTCGCAAAAAAATCTAATATTGCATTTTCATGATCAAATTTTTGCTGTACATGCAGCTAAGAGAAAAGCAAATGAGAGACAAAATTGGATCAAATTTTAATGACTTCACTACTGAGAATGGAATTTGTATGTAATGATATTCATTGCTTGATAATGATATTCATGTACTGTATCAGTAGTATGACTTCTACTATGCAAGCCATTGGCTCAATACCAAAAAAGGAGATAATTAGGCTACCCAACCCAACCTACACTAACACATAATGTATTATCATAGATACTGATACACTGACAGTGATACTATTGATGACAACACTCAGCTAATATATGTACCTTTTGAACTAGTTGATCCTGCAGGTGGCATAGCTGGTAGAGGATGTTCACGAGCTATTTCATCAGCTAATGCTGAATCACCTCCTCCTTCTTTAACAGCTACACACACTCTCCTCCAACAAGGAATACCATTAGTCTGGTAGTCATCATAATCTTTCTTCAACCAACACTCTAGAACCTCCTGCAAACAAGAGACAGCATCTCCACGATAATTAGCTTCTATGGTTCTGATAGTGTCTATTCTAAGGCGAAAGGAAATAGCTATGGATTTCCAACGACTTGAGAGTGGCTTGATTTTATCATAAACAGGATAGAAATCCTTGATGTCTATCAGTATCACAAAGTGAATAAAAAATATAACTCTTTGAAAATCAAAAACTCACTTAGTTCTTTGTCACAAACATCAACAAAATCCAGAGAAAATGAGTGATTTGAAGCAGTTACTGCTTCAACTCCAGCCATTGTCTCTTTGAATTGCTGCAATTTGAGCTACGCCCAACACATAGGCGTGGCTCAAATATACGGGAACCTCCTCCGTCTGTAGCTAGACCCAGTTGAAGTTCAAGTTGAGAAAAAATGATGTGTTGTATAAATGACATAACAATTTATCATATTATTATATTTATATAATAACAATAATAATGATTATCATGTATCAGATTATTTAAGTCTGGTTGCTGGGATTGGTGGTGGAAGGAATCCAGGTAGTGTGGCCTGTTTGGTTTGCTGCTGCTGACTGGTTTTATTAGTTGATTTAAGAGATTTGGTCCGCTTTGTTAAACTGCACAGTTCAAAATCATCATCAGAATCATCAAAATCAATGGTACTGCAGGATGAAGGAGCTTTACCATGAGGCTTACTACTAACAACTTGTGGCTTTGCAGCAGTACCAGTACTAGTTGGTCTGCTAGACTTTGGGCCAGTTGATTTCCTCCTTCCTCCTTTCCTATTAACATTCTCCTGGTCATTAAAGTAAGGAGAGGTTCCCACTTGAGGTGAAGGAGGTGGTGGGAGCATAGCAACTCGACCAGCATAATCCGAAGTGATTTTAAGAAACTCTTCACCGCAAGAGTTTTTCCATTTAGCGACCGTTAGACCCTGGACGGTGAGCATCTCGTCTTTACTTGTCGGAAGTTTCTGTGATAGTTCACGGAGTGTTGTAACAGTGAGGACTACCTCTGGATTAGTCTTGCCTTGCTGACTAGCTATCCTTTTCCTCAACTCATCCAGTGCATTATAACACTCCTCTTTTAGCCTCTCCTCCTCACTCTCAGTCACCACCACTTTCCCTGATATTGAATTCCTTGATTTCTGCTTCACTTTAAGTTGTATCGTCCCAAACTCTCCACTCAATACAGACCCAGCCATAGGACCTGATTTAACATAACACACAACATTATCATGATCTCCAATCTGAAGGTCTTCGGCTAGCACTCCTTTCAGTACCATCATGTGTAGGAGCCTCTCTAGATCATGCTTAGAAAGGAAATCCCCTTTACCATATAAGGGCAAGGATTTCAGCTGTGGTCGTGTTGATGCCAGTGCCCGTAAAGCGTCACTGTACTGTAGTAGTGTGAATTGACCACACCCACTGGATACCTGTTCCACACTCTCGACTATGGTACAAACGAGACTCGTTACGTCCTGAACTTGATGAGGCTCTTGAGAGCGACAAACATCACAAGGAGTTTTAGACTTCTTGCAAAGATCGGGATTGAAAGACTCCGCAAAATACTCCAGTATTTGTGACCGT